CTGGCTACCTTCACTCGGGAGCCGGGGTCGGACCTTTACACACTGACCACTGAGTCCCCTCAGGTAGCTGCGTCCGCGTCTGCGTCTGCGTCAGGTCAGCTGTCCGCCCCCTGCTCGTGTCGCTCTCTGGCGCATGAGACTGTCCTTTGGCATCACCGCCTTGGTCACCCGTCTGTGCAGCGCCTTCGGGCCATGCACAAACGGGACCTTGTTGCTGGTCTTCCCAGGGTACTCCCTCCCCTTCCAGACTCGCCTGCTCCTCCCTGTATTCCCTGTGTCGAGGGGCGGCAGCGCGCCGCTCCTCACTCCTCCTCCTTTCCCCCGACGACTGCTCCTTTGCAGACGCTCCACTTGGACGTGTGGGGCCCAGCCCGCGTCCGTGGCCAGGGTCAGGAGAGGTACTTCCTGATTGTTGTTGACGACTTCTCGCGCTTCACCACGGTCTTCCCCTTGCGCACCAAGGGTGACGTCCCTGATGTATTGATCCCCTGGATCCGCAGATCTCGTCTCCAGCTCAGTGAGCGTTTCCGCTCCGACTTCCCTGTCCTGCGTCTGCACTCTGACAGAGGTGGGGAGTTTACCTCTGGCCTCTTGGAGGCCTTCTGTCAGCAGGAGGGCATTGAGCAGTCGTACACGCTTCCGGCCTCTCCACAGCAGAATGGGGTTGCTGAGCGCCGCATTGGTCTGGTCATGGAGGTCGCTCGTACCTCCTTGAGCCATGCGGCTGCCCCCCATTTTCTGTGGCCGTTTGCAGTCCGATACGCTGCGCATCAGCTCAACCTCTGGCCCCGTGTCTCCTTGCCCGAGACTTCTCCGACACTGCGTTGGACGGGAGAGGCTGGCGATGCGTCGCGTTTTCGGGTCTGGGGATCCCGAGCTTTTGTCCGCGACACGTCCGCGGACAAGCTCTCCCGTCGCGCTGTCCCCTGCGTCTTCCTTGGCTTTGTCCCGGACGCCCCTGGCTGGCAGTTCTACCACCCCACCTCGCGTCGTGTCCTGGCCTCTCAGGACGTCACTTTTGACGAGTCCGTCCCCTACTACCGCCTCTTCCCCTACCGCACTGCCCCGCTCCCCCCCCCACCTCTCTTCCTCGCTCCAGGTGCTGAGGTACCAGACCCCCTCCCCCCTCAGGGTGCCGCTCCCTCAGGTGTGTCCCAGGTAGACCCGGGTGAGCCTGTCGAGGTAGCTGTTGACTCTCGTCCTACTAGGGGTGCTGAGCCTGGGGGTGCTGCGTTCGGGGGTGCTGAGCCTGGGAGTGCTGAGTCTGGGGGTGCGGAGCCTGGAGGTGCTGAGCCTGGGGGTGCTGAGTCTGGGGGTGCTGAGTCCGGGGGTGCTGAGCCTGAGCGTGCTACACCTGGAGGAGCCCTCTCCTCCCAGCAGCTGCAGGAGAGGTACCTCGAGTACTGCCGCCTCCGGAGAGGTGCTGCTGGAGCTCGTCCCGGTACTTCCCCTCCTACCCGGGAGCTCCCCCCCATTCAGCAGATCCGCGAGTGGTACACACGGCGCTGCAGTCTTCGGAGTGGTGCTCCTGGTGCTGCGGACCCTGGGGGTGGCGCTGCTGCTGGTGCTGAGGACCCGGACGTTGGAGCTTCTACTGGTGCTGAGGACTCGGGCGGTGGAGCTGCTGCTGGTGCTGAGGACTCGGACGGTGGAGCTGCTGCTGGAGCTGAGGACCCGAGCGGTGGCGCTGCTGCTGCTGCTGAGGACCCGGGCGTTGGAGCTACTACTGGTGCTGAGGACCCGGCCGGTGGAGCTGCTGCTGGTGCTGTGGACCCGGACGCTGGAGCTCCTACTGGTACTGAGGACCCGGCCGCTGGAGTCTCTTCTGCTTCTGGAGACGCTGCGCGGCCGCGACCGTACTTCGTACCGCTCCTTCAGCAGGTTCTTGGGCAGGCTCCTCCTCCTTGTCCTCCTCCCTCCGTAGAGTGTCCTCCGCCTGTCCAGCCGCAGTCACTGTTACCGCCTACCTCGCCTCTCCCTGCTCCCTCTCCTTACATTGGTCCCACAGGAGGTCTTACAGAGCGTCGTGAGCCTGAGTCTCGTCCTGCGTCGCCTGTTCGTCCTGCTCGCACTGGTAGTCGTGTCCGTCGTGAGCGTCCTCCTCCTGTCCCAGGCACTCACTACATGACTCTGCGTCCCTCTACTGCTCCTCAGCGTGTCCCTCTACCGTCTCCTCCTGCGTCCTCTTTGCCTGACGTTCCGGCCCCTGAGTCTGACCGGTATCGTGCTGAGCACCCTACTGTCACGCGTCTCCTTGCTACTGTTGTCACTGACCCTACCTTTGAGTCCGCCGCTGCGTCTGCTCTGGTCGCTGAGTTGGTTGACTTTGCTGCTGCCTGTCGTCTAGACTACGCTGCTAGCCTTGTTGCTGAGTCTGAGTCTGAGTCTGTCTGTCCTCCGTCCGTCGGGGGTGAGTGTGCTCTTGGCACGGACGTCCTTGAGGACAGACAGGAGGAGTTCCAGTGTCTTGCTGCTGCTTTGCCCCGTCTCGTGTCCTTGCTAGTTGCCCCTGAGGGAGACCCGGATGCACCAGACATCCCGACCCCGCGCACTTACGCTGAGGCGATGGCGGGTCCCTACTCCTCTCAGTGGCAGACAGCCATGGACGCAGAGATGGCTTCCTGGAAGTCCACACGCACCTACGTCGACGAGGTTCCCCCTCCTGGGGCGAACATCGTCAGTGGCATGTGGATTTTCAGGGTGAAGCGGCCGCCGGGTTCTCCGCCTGTCTTCAAGGCGCGTTACGTGGCTCGAGGCTTCAGTCAGCGAGAGGGAGTTGACTTCTTCCAGACCTTCTCCCCCACCCCGAAGATGACTACTCTTCGGGTGCTGCTGCACATAGCCGCTCACCGCGACTACGAGCTTCACTCACTTGACTTCAGCACTGCTTTCTTGCAGGGCAGCCTGCACGAGGAGATCTGGCTGCGCCGCCCACCTGGCTTCACTGGGTCGTTTCCTCCTAGTACCCAGTGGAGGCTTCAGCGGCCGGTCTACAGTCTCCGCCAGGCTCCGCGTGAGTGGCACGACACACTGAGGACTACACTTGCGGCTCTTGGGTTCGCGCCTTCTACAGCTGACCCGTCGCTGTTCCTGCGCACCGACACTTCGCTGCCGCCGTTCTACATCCTCGTGTACATCGACGACTTGGTCTTTGCCACTGCTGACACTGCAGGACTCGCCTACGTGAAGTCGGAGCTGCAGAGGAGACACACGTGCACAGACCTGGGTGAGCTGACAAGCTATCTTGGCTTGCGGATCACCCGGGACAGAGCACGGCGCACCATCACCCTGACTCAGTCACACATGGTGCAGCAGGTTCTCCAGCGCTTCCGCTTCACGTACTCCTCGCCTCAGTCCACTCCTCTGCCTACCGGTCACTCGCTCTCAGCTCTGCCTTCGGATGAATCCGTAGAGCCGAGTGGCCCGTATCCAGAGCTTGTGGGCTGCCTCATGTACCTGATGACCTGCACTCGACCTGACCTTGCATACCCTCTTAGCATCCTTGCACGCTATGTCGCTCCTGGCCGTCACAGGAAGGAGCACATGGATGCCGCTAAGAGGGTGTTGCGCTACTTGTGCAGTACGTCGGGCATGGGGCTTGTGCTTGGAGGGCGAGACCGAGTTGTTCTCACAGGGCACTCAGACGCTTCTTGGGCAGACGACCAGGCCACTCAGCGGTCGTCTCAGGGTTACACCTTCAGCCTTGGCTCTGGCTCAGTTTCTTGGCGCTCTACACGCTCTTCTTCTGTTCTCGGCTCCAGTTGCGAGGCTGAGATCTACGCTACAGCCATGGCTGCCCAGGAGCTACGCTGGCTGACCTACCTGCTGACCGACCTCGGAGAGCGGCCTCGTTCTCCTCCAGTACTGTACGTCGACAACAAGGCTGCCATTGCCTTGTGTGAGGAGCACAGACTGGAGCACAGAACGAAGCACATCGCCCTGCGGTACTTCCTTGCTCGTGAGCTGCAGCAGCGCGGTCAGCTTTGTATTCGCTACGTGGCCACTGAGGCCAACACTGCTGATGTGTTCACCAAGGCGCTTCAGCCTCGTGACCATCAGCGCTTCTGCACTCTACTAGGCCTTGTGCCTACTGGACCTCACTTACTTACCTCTTGACTTTGCTTGTACTGTGATCACTATATATATCTATACCTGCATGTTTACTCTTGCTAGGTTGTGATCACTGTATCTCTTGCTCTGTTATAAACCTGCATGTGAACTGGTCTTGTGACCACTAGCTTGTGCTCGGAATTTGTGTGGAATCCTTGAGATCCACCCTGAGCTTGTTGTTGCCTTGCTTTGCCTTGACTGGTCTTGTGACCCCTAGGTCTCCCCCACTTTGCCTATGGGGGTGTGTCAAACATTATACATGTTGTATTTGTGTAGGCTGTAGTGGGTTAGCCTATAGGGGGGTCACAACATTAGGGTTTCATATTTGTACTCACAATCCTTGCTAGTTCCACCATTCCAGTCCGTTCTTGTTGACAAATGCTACTTCACCCGCGTCATTGCCCGTGTTAACTTCACCCCCAGTCGCAGGCCCAGGCCGACGGTTGACGCCACGCCCGCGGAGCGAAGCTCCCGTGCGCGCACCGAGGACATGTGAGTGGACGGGGTTTGCAGTCGCGGCGGCATCGGTGGGCTCGTCATCCGTCGTCAGCGAAGCTGGCGGCAACGGCACGTTCGAGGGCGACCCACTCGGCGAGGATGCCGTGCGTTGTCTGTCGCGACGGCGCTGCACTGCCCTCGCACAGCCAGGCGAAGCCGAGGCTGCGTCTTGCACGCCCGTCTGAGGCACGCTTGGTGTCGGCAGGTTACGAGCTGGCATGACGTGCGGGAGGGAGGTGGGGGGGGGGGATTCCGGTGTGTGGGGAGCATGCATTAGTGGGGATTAATCGGGGTAAAGTTATGTGCTTTGTACGACATTGCATTAAGCAACTGAAGCTTTACGCCAATTACTTTGACAATGTAGCACAACTCACGAGAATCAGAGAGGCTAATCACTTAGTAGCAGTAGTGCTTGTTGATGGCACGTTCACCACATTTGCACTAGGCAGACTGCCGGCAAGCGCAGACGGACGTGCATTTGCGCGGTCGCCTAGGATTCGGTCGAAGATATCGTAGAAGATGGGGATCTTCGGAGGGCGACCCTTGCCCGAGGAATTAATAAGGAGGTCCGCCACGCGCCTGTACTGTGCCTCCATACGGAAGACTTTCGCCTTCACCGCTGCAAAACCGTGACGGAAGTCCGGGTGGCGGGCCTTGAGCTTCTCAAAGAGCATCACATCGCGGTTTTGGCCTTGCAAGCGGTTCTGGCTGCGCCACTGCTCGTCGTTGTCGTGGCGAATCCACGCCAGTTGCATAACCTCGTGCGGCTCCCAGCGCGCTCCAGTGGGCGCCATGGCTGGGTCGGTGTCTTCGTCGGCGGTGTCGTCTACGTCGCAGTCTACTTCACCAGCGTCAAAGTACGCCAGCGTGTCGTCATCGCCGTTAAGCGGGGTGTTGTGGGCGGGAACACGCGCAATCACTTGGTCGAGATCAATAACATCTAGGCGGCGCGCCGTGGTATTATCGACTGTCGCACAACGACGGCGAGATGGGGTGGTGACTGAGACGGGAGCTGCGGTAGTGGCGTCGTTTCCACGGGCTTCACTTTGAGAAGTTGACATCGCGAATATGCAAGTGAGATGGGGTAGGTTGAGTGTTGAATGTCTATTGTATAGTAGGTGGGTGGTGACATTTTGGTGGCCGCCGTGGACTTGAACATCGGTGGCGGGACTTTCACAGCCGATGCGCCAACGTCTAGTCAAGCGCAGAAGCGGCACGTCATCGTGCCACGACAACATCCACGTGGCGGCATCTGCTTGAGGGTGTATGCTGGTGGTTTCGGTCGTGCCGCTATTGGTGCACGAAAGTGTAGCGAGAGTCGCCCATTCACACACGTTCATGAAACCACACACGTTCACTACAACGTGCAAAACCAAGTTTGCTTAGGGCGTGTGTGAATCTAATTTTACCTTAAGTTTATGTTTTTGATTCGATTGTAGCAATTGAACTCTAAGCGAACCTGACTCGATTTTGAGTATTTGCAAGGTTCGAACCGCAGGGGTCAAAATTTGTAACTCACAATCACACACGCAGGAGCGAATCTGCAAGTTCGAGCCTGTAGGGGGAGAACCGAACCTCCACTAGGATGCGTAGGTTACCCTGTATCGGCATCTTGACAGCGCGACACGTCAACGAATCGCGTGGCCCAAAAATGCACTCTAGACTTCCAACTCATCTTCTCCCGGACAGTCCAACTAGCTACAAAGGTGAGAGTGTCGGCCCATTCGCCAACTCAGCTCTCCAAAATGTCCCTCATTGACCTGGTGCGCCTGCTCGAAATCAGAGGCGGAACGTCATCGTGCCACGACAACATCCACGTGGCGGCCTTTGCTCGAGTGGGTTTGATACTGGTTTCGGTCGTGCCTCTATTGGCGCATGAATGTCTAGCGAGTGTCGCACACTCCTCGTACGTGCCTGAAACCACACACATTCACTTCAACGTGCAAAACCACGTTTGCTCATATACTCGAATCTTGTTCAGTTTTCGGGGTTCGAGTCTCGTGGGAATCAAAATGTACATGGCGAATGCGAAAGCAATCGCGAACATGCACGAAACTGGTTACCACTCTAAGTTCGATCTCATTTAGAACTGCAGTTAGATTCACACACGCCCTTATATCCTCGATTCTTGTTCACCTTTCGAAGTTCGAGTTTAGTGCGTGACAGAGTGAACACGGCCTAGGCGAAACCTTGAGCGAACATGAGCGAAACAGGTTACCACACTAGGTTAGATCCCATTTTCGAATTGCGATTAAATTCACACACGCCCTAAACTAGAATTCCTCTCATGGTCCTATCTTGGCAATCAAATCAGGCATCCACCCTTATCTCGTTCAACTGTTGCACGAGTACGGACGACGACACCTGTGAGGGATAGGGGTGGTCAGCATGAGGACCTTGATAGCGTTTCCTGGAACGAGTCAGCTGCTGCGTCTTGAGATTGTGGCATTTCAGCGAGAATTTCGCACGCGAGACACTAGACAACTGCATTACGCGTCCAATAGCGCAGCGCTTATGTAAAGTAGAACAAAGCCTAAGAAAATAATTGCGTGACTCGACTAGTCCTCCATCGTTCGTGTAAATTTTTTTCAAGCTGAACATAATCCCCTGACGCCGCTGATTGTGTACCCGCATTGCTGAAAGGCCATCATGTCTCGCATTCTCCTGCCAGTGAGTCCCTCAAAGGAGATAGCTTATCATATAACACTCTTCCCTATTGAGTTCAAAGCTTCACCTTGTACCATTTGAAGACTGCCGATCGGTCGTGAATTGAAGCTTTACAAGCGGCCTCAGAAAGTGTCATGCCTCATGCTCCCTTTCCTCCTGCTGTCATCCTCCAACTGCCATGCACTGCACGGCAGGAGCAACACCTCTTCCTCGCCGTGCTCGCCTTCTTCTTCCTCGTCTCGCTGCTGCAGGTTCGTCCTTCAAGTCGTGCTTCCCCGTTTGTAAGCGTCACGTTGCTCGACTTTGCATTCACCATGTCATGCATCAATGAGCCATGTCATGCATCAATGAACCATGTCATGCATCAATGAGCCATGTCATGCATCCATGAGCCATGTCATGCATCCATGAGCCATGTCATGCATCAATGAGCCATGTCATGCATCAATGAGCCATGTCATGCATCAATGAGCCATGTCATGCATCAATGATCCATGTCATGAATCAATGAGCCATCCCATGCATCAATGAACCATCCCATGCATCAATGAGCCATGCCATTTAGCAATGAGTCAAGGCATGCATCAGTGAACCATTCCACGGATCGATGTACCATGCCGTGGATCAATGTACCGACCATCATGCATGGATCACGACATGCGCATAACAACAACTAATGCCACGCGTCCTCCATGCATCTCCTTGCATCTCCTGCACAACCGCGTGCCTCCACACTCAGCCATGCCCATGCCCATGCCCATGCCCTCCTGTGCGTCTGCATGGCTGTGTACGGCCTGGCATGCCCCACGGCCAGCTGCGAGTGACATGGGTGGAGAAGCTCAGCGCCGTCGACCTGCCACCCGTGCCCATCCCCATGCCCGTTCCCATCCATCCCTATCCCCGTGCCCTCCTGTGCATGTCCGTGCATGGCCCCGTACCTCCTGACACGCCCAGCTGCGAGTGACATGGGTGGAGAAGCTCAGCGCCCTGCTCGTGCACATGCCCATGCCCATCCCCATTCATCCCCATGCCCGTGACCACTTGTGCTTCTCTGTGCATGGCCGTGTACCTCTTCACATCCCCAGCTGCGAGTGACATGGGTGGAGAAGCTCAGCGCCCTGGACCTGCCACCCGAGGGCTTTGCCACCCTTGCAAAGACAGGAGTACGCACCATGTGGTGCATGACGCATGACCTGTGCATGATGCATGATGTGATGTATGATGCATGATCTGATGTATGATGCATGATGTGATGTATGATGCATGATCTGATGTATGATGCATGATGTGATGCATGAGACATGATGTGACGCATGATACACGATGTGATGCATGATACATCATTGTGATGCATGATAGATAATGTGATGCATGATAATGCCACTTGCTGTCCATTACAACCACCACTTTCTCTAACCCAATCATACTATACCCCTGCCTCTCTCTATCCCTTTTTCTGTAAAAGCCCCTTTGGAAGCGCCTCAAAACTAGAGCGCTAGGACATACCAACTGTTGAAAGCCCCTTTCCTTGTTCGTTTTCTTCATGAAACCCTGGAGAAGAACCCTTTCACTTCACCCCCCTTCTGCCCTCTCTCTGCCCCCGTGCCCTCTCTTCCCCCTCCACCTGCTGTCCCCCGTCCTCTCTCCCACCCTCTGCCTTACCCCATGCGCGCTGCCCCCCAGGCGCAATGCAGGAGGACGCAGAGCAGGTGCGGCAGCAGCTGGCTGCAGGCATGGAGGGGGTGGCGCGGGAGGTGGGGCAGCTGCGCCAGGCCAGCAGCAAAGCAGCGGGGGACGCAGCGCAGGTGCTGAGGGAGGGGCAGGAGGGGCTGCAGCAGCTACAGGCGGAGATTAAAGAGCTTAAAGCCCACGTGCGCCGGCAGGGGGAGGAGTTGTCTCATCAGATGGTGGCCCTGGCTCGGCTGCAGGTGAGAGGAGAGAGATGGGAGGTGAGTGAGGCGAGGGGCAAGCGGATGGAAGGGGGATGGAGGGACATGGCACACAGGCAAAGGAGGAGGTATGCGTTCTGGGTGAGGTGCTTTGATAGAGTGCAGCTTTTGAGACGTCTCATAAGCGGATGGAAAGGGGGATGGAGGGACATGGCACACAGGCAAAGGAGGAGGTATGCGTTCTGGGTGAGGTGCTTTGATAGAGTGCAGCTTTTGAGACGTCTCATAAGCGGATGGAAAGGGGGATGGAGGGACATGGCACACAGGCAAAGGAGGAGGTATGCGTTCTGGGTGAGGTGCTTTGATAGAGTGCAGCTTTTGAGACGTCTCATAAGCGGATGGAAAGGGGGATGGAGGGACATGGCACACAGGCAAAGGAGGAGGTATGCGTTCTGGGTGAGGTGCTTTGATAGAGTGCAGCTTTTGAGACGTCTCATAAGCGGATGGAAAGTTGGATGGAGGGACATGGCATACAGGTAAGGCAGGAGGTATGCCTTCTGGGTGAGGTGCTTTGATAGAGAACAGCTGAGCCCAACGTAGTGACGACTGGAGAGTGAGGTGAGGAGGAATTAAAGTGCTATAAGAATGAGGTAAGGAAAGAATCTGGTGGGTGGGTGCATGGGTGTATCAACCTCTGAAAAGCTGAATGCTGCTTTCTCATTCCCCTATCCCCTCACCACCACTCCCTCCCCCTCCCTCCTCACCTCACCCCTCTCCTGAACCCCCCCACCTGTCCTCATCCCTGCTGCATCTTTCCACCCTCATCCATTCTTCTCCTCCCCACTCTCCAGCAGCAGGCACAGCAGAACAACGCTCGGGCTGCTGCCGCCGCCGCCGCCACCGCCACTGCTGCTACTGTTACTGAAGCTGGCAGTGGTACCAGCAACAGCAGCGGTGGCAGTGGGGGGAGGGGAAGCGGGGTATACCACCGGCCGTGGCGGAGGAACGGGTTCAGGCGGTGGAAGATCACAGATGACCGCCCGCAGTACTGGCGGCAGCGCGTGTTTGAGAAATATGGCGCGTATGGCTTCGTCAAATTCAGGTGAGCACAGCTGGCTTTTAGAAGTGTGATGGTTTCGGTGAGTTTGAATGCCTACAGGCTACGGCTTTGTCAAGTTCAGGTGAGCCCAAGGTTGAGGTGGGCGCAGCTTTATTTCAGAGTCTGCATTGGCTGTAAGTGATTCCATAGCTAAGGTGAGAGCACAGCTTAGGCACAACACGACACTGCATGGCATGGCATGGCATGGGCATGGCTTCCTCTCCCCTCATTCCTCTCCCCTCATTCCTCTCCCTCCCATCACCTGCGTCCCCCAGCACATACCGCATGAGTGCATGGCGCATAGCCATAATAGGCATGGTGCCTGTCTCCATGGAGGGCAAGACTCGCCTCACTTGACCCCATTGACTCTCTTGACCTGCTTTCTCTCCCCTCATTCCCCTCTGCCCCCCCCAGTGCATACCGCATGAGTGCATGGCGCATAGCCATAATAGGCATGGTGCCTGTCTCCATGGAGGGCAAGACTCGCCTCACTGACTGCACATGGCACGGCTCCGATGGCTCGCGCATCAGTGGAGAGCTGTCTATCAGCCTCGTGGGCAAGCACCACAACTACATCGTAAGCCCACTGGTCAGGCTTGGGAGATTCTTATCTTCGGAGAGACAGTGGGTTGTCTTAAACCACATGGCATGGCTGGCTCTGATGGCTTCCGGATGGATGGTGACCTCTCCATTAGCCCCGTGGGCCGCACACACGTGGCTGGCTCTGATGGTTCGTTTTGGGCTGCACCGCACCGCACCGCAGTTACATTGTAAGGCCACTGGACTGGCAGGCTTGGAGGTCACTGTGTTGTGAGAAACAGTGAGTCGCCGCTCCCCTTCCTGCACACATGGCATGGCTGTGATGGCATCAAGCGGAAAAAGACCTCTCCGTTTGCCTCGTTGGTATAGATAATCATCATGCTAAGAAACTGTTCCCCGGCGCTCCCCTGCTGCCTTCTCCCATTCCTTGCTCTGCTCCCCCCTCTATGCCTACGTGGCAGTATGATGTGGCAGTGGTGCTGTGCACACTCGACAGCGCCACCAAGGCAGCAGGCGGCTACTTGAAGGCGAGGATAGAGCAGGAAATACTGTTCCCGTACAGGGAGGAGGAGAATCAGGTGAGTCTTTCTTGAGCCGTCTCAACATTTTTTTGGTTTGTGGCATTGTAAGACTTCAAGGCAGCAGGCGGCCACCTGGAGGCGAGGATAGAGCAGGAGATACTGTTCCCGTACAGGGAGGAGGAGAATCAGGTGAGGACTTTTTTATATGTCTCAAACCCCAAAGCTAAGCTCAAGGCAGCAGGCAGGCACCTGGAAGCAAGGATAGGGCAGGAGATACTGTTCCCATACAGGGAGGAGGAGAGCGAGGGGAGGCCTTTTTGATACGTGTGAAAAGTTCTGACATTTGGGACGTCTGAAAACACCCAAGGCAGCCAGCGGCTGCACTTCCACCGTGTGCCCCTCCCAGTTGACCGCTTCGTGTTCTATGATGCAGAAAGGGGGCGGTTGGGGAGCATGGTTACCGCTTGAAATGTTTCTCAACAGATCCTCTTTCCCCTTTCCCTCCCCCCACCCCACTTCCGCAGCCTCTGGAGGCCCCGTCGCCCCTGCCTCTCAACATAGCAGCGTGCGTGTCCCCCATCCACGGCAGCATCGACGCCAGGAGGCTCCTTGAGTAGCTGCACTTCCACCGCGTGCTGCTGCCTGTGAATCGCTTCCTGCTCTATGTTGGGAGGGGGGTCGCGGCAACGGGGAGGCGTGGGGTTCTCAACCAATCCCTCTCTCCCTGAACCCTCCCCTGCCCTTCTTTTTCCCCCCTCTCTCCCTTCACTTCCAGCCTCTCGAACCTCCCTCGCCTCTCCTGCTGAACATAGCAGCATGCGTGTCCCCCATCCACGGAAGCATCGACGCCAGGAGGCTCCTCGAGTGGCTGCACTTCCGCCGCGTGCCGCTCCCTGTCGACCGCTTTCTGCTCTATGAGCGGGGGGCATTGGGGCCAACAGGGAGGCGTGGGGTTCTCAACCAATCCCTCTCTCCCTGAACCCACGCTCCCCTTCGCTTCTCTGCCTCTCTCCTTCCCGTCACGCAGCCACTGGAAGCGCCATCCCCTCTCCCATTGAACGTGGCAGCGTGCGTCACCCCCATCCACGACACCATCGACGCCAGGAGGCTTCTAGAGTGGCTGCACTTCCACCGGGTCCTCCTCCCAGTGGACCGCTTCCTGCTCTATGATGCGGGGGGCATCGCAGGCAACGGGGAGGCGGGGCCGGCACACAAGGAGATGCAGCGGGTGCTGGCGCCGCGGGTGAAGCGTGGCATGGTGGACGTGATGTGGAGATTCAGAGAGGTGCTGCAGTGGGACGTTTGGAACTATGGCGAGGTACGTAACTATGGGGTTCGGTTCTGGGGGATGATTGGCATGTGTGGGATGAGCTGTACCGTCAGCATCAGAGCACTTGGCATGTGTGGCATGTGTGTGCGATGTACTTGGTGCTTGGGTCCAGAGAGGCGTGGTGTAGTGACGAGGGGGTTCAGAGAGGTAGTGGGACGTGTGGAACTATGGAGAGGTACGTTGAAGGGGAGTGGGGGCTGATCAGTCGCGGCAAGAAACCAGGACTACTATGAGTCACAGTATTACCTGTGACTCATAGTAGTCCTGGTTTCTTGCCACTCTCTCTTTACTCTAGCAACTCACCCACCCCATTAGACGTTTTTCTTAGCTAAAACCTTCAGGCGAATTCAAGCTTGCTGCGGTTCGAACCCTTTCAACTCTATGTTGAAGGAGAGTGGGGGCTGATCAGTCACGGCAACATTCTCCCTCCCTTCTTGCCCCCCATGCCCATCATCCCATAGGAGCAAAAACAAGTTTTTGAGTCGACTCAAAAACAGACTCTCCCTTCTTGCCCCCCATGCCCATCATCCGTCCCATAGGAACAAAAACCAAGTACTAGGAGCCTAAATAGACATTTCTTCTGCCGCCCTTCACCTGCCCCTCACCTGCCCCTCACCCCCACCCCTCCCCTCCCGAACCCGCCCAGCATCTCGCCATCCAGGACTGCATATACTGGACACGCAACGCCGCCCGCTGGCTGCTCGTGTCCAGCATCGATGACTACCTCCAAATCCCGCCGCCCCTCTCGCTGCCAGCACTGCTACAGGAGCACGAGTCTCTCCCATGGCTGACCTTTGGCGCTACAGCCTTCAATGGCTCCTTTTGTTCTCCGCTACAACTGCCACCACAGGCAGCAGGGGGAGGGGAGGGGGATGGGGAGGGTGGGGGAGGGGGTGAGGGGAATGGGGACGGGGAGGAGGGGGAGGAGGAGAGGAAACGGGCTGCTGCGATGGCTGCTAATGAGGCCAAAGCTGCTTTTGCCGTGGAAAGAATGCGGTTCAGGTGGGTGAGTGTTGGTGCAGGTGGGTGAGATGTGGTGCTGGTGGGTGAGGGCGCGGTTCGCATTGGTGTAAAAGTGTTGCACAGAAGGGCGTGCACAGCAACAGTCTGCTTTTCCTTTTCCACCAACCACCAACCGAACAGAACAGCCCTACACCCTTCTCTCCTTCTCTTTGTACGCGGCCCCCCTCTTCCTTCTTCCCCTCGTTCTTCCCCCAGGTGGCCCCACACTGTGTGCTCTGCTACAGACGTCTACAGCACCAGCCAATGCCTAGAAGAAGAGGTCTAGCTGCTAACTCCGCTCCTACCTCCCGTCCCCCTCTCTTCCCCACTCCCCATCTCCCCAGGGGGGCCCACCCCGTGTGCTCTGCTACAGACGTCTACAGCGCCAGCCAATGCCTGGACGAGGAGGGCTCACGCCGCTACATCCTCGACCCGCGCCGGGTTATCACTGCCACAGCCAATAGCGTCGCGTCATCCCGCCCGGGAATCAACCTCCCCGTGGAGATTGCCAGGCTGGCGCGCTTCCCTGATATCAGCCAATCAGGGTTCGCCACGTGTACACTGGGCGAGCCGAGTGACAGTTGGTGGGAGAAGGAGGAGGGGGTGGCTGCGCTGGCAGAGGCGGCGAGGAGGTGCCCAGCTTTAAAGCCATGGACAAAATGGGCGTCTGCTGAGGTTAGTTGACACAAGGGGCGTCTGCTGAGGTGAGTTGACAAAAGGGGCGTCTGCTGAGGTTAGTTGACAAAAGGGGCGTCTGCTGAGGTGAGTTGACAAAAGGGGCGTCTGCTGAGGTGAGTTGTCTGCTGCTGTGGTGAGAAAGGTTTGTTGTAATCTCAGGTGTGTGAGAGTGAGGGCTGCTGTTGTGGGTAAGGTGGTGGGAGAGGGGGAAGGGGGTGGCTGCACTGGAGGAGGCAGCGAGGAGGTGTCCTGCCTTAAAGCCACGGGCGAAAGGGGCGGCTGCTGAGGTGAGAAAGGTCTGTTGAGTTTGTTGTAATGAGGTGTGTGATAGTGATGGTTGCCGCTGTGAGTAAGGTGGTGAGAGGCGGAAAGGGGTGGCTGCACTGGCGGAGGCAGCGAGAAAGTGTCCGGCTTTCAACCCACGGCAGAAAAGGGCGGTTGCTGAGGTGACTGTGGTTGTCGGAGGGAGAGGGGTGTTGTTGAGGGTTGTTGGAGTGAGTACGGTGGTGGGAGAGGGAAGCGGGGTTGGCTCGCTTGGAGAGGTTGCTCAGAGATTCCCGTATGAGATCACTGCGTGAAACGGACTGACTGTTGAGATGGGAAGAGCAGATTAAGTGAGTGGTCTAGTAGCCAATGCGTACTTGACTTTGCCTGCTCTGCATGATACATCAGTCCTTGCGGATACATTTGGTCTCGTCCATCTCCTTCCACCTCATGCCTCCAGCCAAACCTTCAATGTTCCATGCATTTGTCACCTTCCTGCCACTTTTTGTGACCTCCCCACTAACTTACCTCCCTCCCTTACCCTTGCTTTCATGACCACTACTTCCGTTCTTGTAGAAATGCACCCCTGAAGGGATAGCCAAGAGGTTAAGTGGTGGCAACGGGTGAAGCTTGGAGTAGAACAAGGAACCCCATTTTCGGTTTCCCAGCCTAGTAACGCCAGTGTTACTCAAAACATTGTTAGTGACTTATTAACAATGTAACTACATATCCCAAGTCATGTAAGGAACCGTGTTGCTGACATGCACGTACACAAACCAGAGTATTCCGACTTACGACAATGTTTGTTATTGTAGATAAACTAGTATTTGTCGCTAAATGTTTATGAAAGCATTACGAATAGAGATGTACACTATCCGGACTTGAGTTCCCAAGAGACGGGAACAAAATTGAAGTCGCACTTCTAGCTGAAAACGACTTTCCCGCTTGCTTGCCGCCAGAGTTGCCACCAGCCAGTTGCATTACCGCATACTGCCATTGCCACAGCTGCCAATCCCAAGGCCTTTCTAGGCGACTGTCGCTCGTTGTTCGTCGTTCGTCGTTCGTCAGAAGTCGCAAGATTTCGCTTTTCGCGCGTCGCTAGGCGATTGCAGCCATGAAAGCCATGGGCTTGATGGTCCTGGCTCTATGGCTAGTCACTTCCGTCTCTTCTTGCAAGGTCTGTTAGTCCGTATCGTGCTTATGTGTCTGCTTCTATTCTCCCTCTTGCCGCGCTTCGCGATAGACAAGGGATTTCTGGCTAGGTTGCAAGGAAGTCACTTCTCGGCTTGTAGCCGTCAATGGCGGTGCTTTGTGCGTGATTCACTGCTCCAGTTACGAGGTTGAGCAAACGTGGTAGCTTGTTATCTTTCTTGGTTTCACTAGCTCGCATTGTCACATACTGATTCTAATATCGAGGGCGTTACAACGGCACTGACACGTTCCCTCGTCCATGACATATGTCAGCTGCTAACGGTTTCTTGATAAATTCATTCATGTACCAGGCGGCTCCGTCGCCATCACCGTCATCGTCACCTCCATTCTGCTCCGCCGTCTCTTCTGACGTAATATCGCCGTCGCCTGAAGCCCGCTCGCACCTGCTGATAGCAGGTGGCACTGTAGTCAACGCAGATGGCGAATTCGCTGCAGACGTTTATATCGAGGATGGAACCATCAAGCTCGTTCGGCCAAACATCAAGGTGACGTGTCCTGCACTCAGGAATTTCCGTTCCAAACCTGCTTCAGAGAAGGACCATACCAACTTGAAATGCATTGAAAGCCTTGCATCCATGAGGACTCAGGTTATGTGCAAACCACTTTTATTAATTATTTAACTCACAAACAAATTCACCTTCATGTTTGGATTGGCTCCCTGACTGGTTCAGTTTCGCTGCACACATCTGGTGTGAAGTGACTTCTCTTGCTGCTGACTTGTTCATGCTGTTTGTCCTGATTCGGCTTTGCTGACATGGCTGCAGGTTCCAGATTGGGTTCAGAAGATTGATGCTGCCGGAAAATACGTCATGCCAGGTATTGCTAACACTGCATGGGCTACACGCACTTACTCACCGTTTATAACGAATTCATTCTTGAGGTCGAGTTCATGTGGCGTTTCTACTTGGGCCAGGCAGCAGCACTTCCAGGCAGCGAACCACCCTGAATATCCACAATTTCACAACGCGCTCTTTGCTCTATCCCCCCTATTCTCCTCCTCCCCTTCCCCTACATATAAGGAGGCATAGACCCGCACACCCACCTAGCCATGCCCTTCATGGGAACGGAGTCCTGCGACAATTTCTATTCGGGCCAGGCAGCAGCGCTGGCAGGCGACACCACCTTCCACATCGACTATGTGCTTTCTGCTCTCCCCCCGCTCCCCTTCCCTCTCATTCCCCACTCCCTTCCCCTCCCTTCCCATCTCTTCCCCTCTCTCCTCCCTTCCCCTCCCTTTCCCTGCATCCTCCCGCGCCCCCCTCTCTTTCCCCCAGGAGGCATAGACCCCCACACGCATTTAGCCATGCCCTTCATGGGAACTGAGTCCTGCGACGATTTCTACTCGGGCCAGGCAGCAGCGCTGGCAGGCGGCACCACCTTCCACATTGACTATGTGCTGGGGGCCACGCCGGCTGCAGGGGTTGATCTGCTGCGGATTCTGGAGGAGTATGAGGGGAAGGCAAGGGGCAACGCCGTGATGGACTATGGGTTCCACATGGGTGTCACGCGGTGGAGTGAGGCTGTGGCGCGGGACATGGAGGAGGTGGTGAGGCGAGGTGAGGTGCGGTGGAATGTGGTGAAGTGAGGTGAGGTGGGATGTAGAGGGAATAGAAGGAACGTGCCTAATTGTGGGGCGAGGCGCAGCGCGGTACGAACGTACCACACCACAGGTGCACGAGTGTAACGACGTTTTCAAACACGTCTCCTCCCCTTGCTATTGCTACTCCTCATCTGCGTACCCCCCCCGTCAGGCGTGCGTGCAGCAGTCCTTCATTCTTGGCGTACCATGCTCTTTATATACGCCATGCGTCTCCTCCCTGTGCCTGCCAGGCATCGACTCGTTCAAGTTCTTCATGGCGTACAAGGGCGCGCTGCAGGTGGACGGCATTTGAGACATGTCAAATGCGACTCCTCTCCTTGCTGTTGCTCCCTGCTGCTCCTCCCCAACCCTTGCTCATCTCCTTGCCATTGCGCATCCCCTGCCAGCCAGGCATTAACTCGTTCAAGTTCTTCATGGCGTACAAGGGCGCGCTGCAGGTGGACGACTTTGTATACCTCTCAGAATCCCATCTACCTGCTATTGCAACTCTTGCACTGCATATGACGTGACACGTGCCTGCCAGGCATCAACTCGTTCAAGTTCTTCATGGCGTACAAGGGCGCGCTGCAGGTGGACGACCAGCAGCTGCTGGACGGCTTCACTCGCTGCAAGCACCTCGGCGCCATCCCCCAGGTCAGATGCTGCGACCATGCTGTGTCCCCCGGCTGCTGCAGTGCACTTCTGCTGATCAGGTGACTTGGTGACCAGGTGACGCAAGGGATGCAAGGGATGCAAGGGAGTAGAGCCAGCAGCAGCCCATGCCCAATGTAACTCACCATACCCCACAACTTAAACTCCCCTTTCTCCATCTCCCCTTATTTTCCTGTGCGCACAGGTGCATGCAGAGAATGGCGATGCAGTGGTGTGGGGGCAGCAGCACATATTCGACCTTGGAATCACTGGCCCTGAAGGCCACCCCTTGTCTCGCCCCCCTGAGGTGCGTCTGGTGACTGTTGAGGCGCCTCAAAGCACGGGCCCTGCAGGCCACCCGTTGTCCCGCCCTCCTGAGGTGTGTCTGGTGTCCGTGCTGCAGCTGTGCTCGTGGTCCTGCTTAGCTTGGCCTGGTGGGGGGGGAAGCAATCGCGATCCCACCCTGCCGCCGCCAACTGTCACCGAGAATCCCCATCCAGCCCGCACTGTGTGGCACCGTGTCATGCAGGTGGAGGAGGAGGCGACAGGCAGGGCCATTCGGCTGGCAAATGTGGTGGGCGTGCCCCTGTACGTGGTGCATGTGATGAGCGCTGGCGCTGCCAGGGAGGTGGTCGAGGCCAGGCGCAGAGGTGAGTTGCAGCAGTGGGTGGGGAAGGTGGGGCGCTGAGACTCAGCGGCTGAGTGTGTGGCCTGGTGAGCTTGTTACACAGCACCTCTGGCTGTACGTGGTGCATGTCATGAGCGCTGACGCCACCAGGGAGGTGGCGGAGGCCAGGCGCAGAGGTGAGGGGGGGTGATGGGGTGCAGGGATGGGGGCTGACTGTGTGACTTGACTTGAGCCCGTTAGGCAGTAGCTGTTCGTGGTAGACGGGAGCAGCAGAGGCCAGGTGCAGAGGTGAGGCAGAGAGCTTTCCCTCACCTTTACCCTCTACCCTCATGCACGCGTATTTTGAGAGCTCTCAAATCGTGCCTGTATGCATCTATCACATGCCTGTATGCATCTATCACTTGCCTTGCCTGCTGGCTGGCAGGGCAGCGCGTGGTGGGGGAGCCGGTGGTGTCGGGCATTGCTCTCAACGACTCCCACCTCTGGTCGCCTGACTTCAAGCACGCCGCTCAGTGCGTCTCCATGCCACCACCATGTCCTCAAGTTTCAGCAGGGTTCACGTTTCGGTTTCAGCATGTCATTGCTCCATTCATGCGCTCGTTGTCCTCCTTGTGCCACAGTGCTCTGTGTGCCACTTTCCTCTCACATGCCCCCCTTTCATTTTTTGAGGCGCCTCAAAACGCGTTGTCCTCCTAGTGACACTCTCCTCTCACATGCCCCCCTGTCCGCGCGGCAGGTTTGTGATGAGTCCGCCCATCCGCTCTGCAGAGCACGTGGCAGCAGTCAAAGCAGCACTCGCCACTGGCACGCTACAGGTATGCACTATATTAGGGAGTTACCATGTTGCGAGACGTCTCAAAACATCGTTGTTATCACGTGTGCCACTGGTACATTGCAGGCATGAGGTTCATTAGAAAGTTACCATGCTTTCAAGAGTGTGTACCTCCTTACACTCTATGCATGTGCCATCTTTGTGTTGTCACAGTGCACTTACGCCCACACCTTTATTTGTTCTCAACCGCCCTCACTCTCTCCCGCACTCTCCTCTTCCTCCCCCGCTTGCCATATACCACTGCCCCTCTAATTCACAACGAAAATATCCCCATACTGTCACCAACTCCCCCCATCCCTCGTGAAGAGAGACGTCTCAAAAATACTCTCTCTCCACTGCCCCTCTAATTCACAACGGAAATATCCCCCTACTGTCACCAACTCCCCCCACGCCTCGCTCCTTCACTCCGTCTACAGCCGCTCGACTTGGGTCATTGTCCCTTCGACCTGTCTCAATTGCACCTTTTTACCTTCACCCTCATCACCCTCACTTCCTCATTCCCTCTCCCTCTCATTGTCTCCCCAACCTTCAACCCGTCACAGAAGGCATCCCGTACCCCTCGTCTCACTCACTCCCCCACTCCCTCTCTCCCTCTCCCCCTTCAGCTGGTGGCCACGGACCACTGCCCCTTCAACTCGACTCAGAAGGCCAAAGGGCGCCATGACTTCCGCCTCATTCCCAACGGCGTCAACGGTGAGCGGAGGGGAAGGAGAGGGAGGATATGGCGGAGGGGAAGGAGAGGGAGGATATGGCGGAGGGGAAGGAGAGGGAGGATATGGCGGAGGGGAAGGAGAGGGAGGAATCCATTGATAATGGCGTGGATGGTGTCATGCACTGATATGGTGATGCCTTATGAGTGCTCGTATCCCGCTAGATGTGGCGAGATGGCGTGAATGTTTGGTTGGATGAGTGTTGAGGGGATGATTGGAAGGCCATCATACACGCACATATGCCACAAGCCACGAGCCACGAGCCACGATGCCATGAGCCACGAGCCACATATGCCACAAGCCACGAGCCACATGGTAGGTGCTTGTGGAGATTTATCTTGTCTGGTTTTTCTGGCTACCATTGGCTTAAGAATCTCTTTGCATGTATGTGCCATGTGGCTTGCCATGTGTGCAGGTATCGAGGAGCGCATGCACATAACCTGGGATGTTATGGTGGTGAGTGGGCACGTGATGGGATGGCGGTGGTGAGCACAGGAAGGGATGGCATCAGAAGGTGAAACTCCTAACTTCTGGTGCATTGATGCACACATGGTGGAACATGCATGTTCTATGTCTATCTACTCACACATCCTCGTGTTTTGAGACGTCGCAAAGCATTGATGCATGTTCCATGTCTATCTACTCACACATCTTCGTGTTTTGAGACGTCTCAAAGCATTGATGCATGTTCCATGTCTATCTACTCACACATCCTCGTGTTTTGAGACGTCTCAAAGCATTGATGCATGTTCCATGTCTATCTACTCACACATCCTCGTGTTTTGAGACGTCTCAAAGCATTGATGCATGTTCCATGTCTATCCACTCACACATCCTCAAGTTTTGGAGACGTCTCAAAGTTCCATGTCTATCTACTCACACATCCTCGTGTTTTGAGACGTCTCAAAGCATTGGTGCATGTTCCATGTCTATCTACTCACACATCCTCGTGATTTGAGACGTCTCAAAGCATTGATGCATGTTCCATGTCTATCTACTCACACATCCTCGCCCTTCCTGTTTCTCCTTCCCCCCAATGTCAACCCATGGTCACAGAATTCGGGTCTCATGTCACCCAGCGATTATGTCCGCATCACCAGCACAGAGTGGTGAGTCATCGGTGCAGAGTGGTGAGTCAGCACTACAGAATGGAGACAAAGCAGCTCAGATGGTGAGTCAGCAATTCAGAGAGCAATCATTTGCAGTCACTCCCGTGCCCTCACCTGTATCCCATCCCTCCCTCCCTCCCTTCCCAACTCTCCCCTATTCCCCAGCCATCCTAGATCATCACGAATGTACCCCCTCTTGAAGAGAGGGTATTTTTGAGACGTCTCAAAAATACCCTCTCTTCACGTGGCTATCCAGCCATCCTAGATCATCACGAATGTACCCCCTATACAGTGGCGTAGATTACTCCTAGCCCTATCCGCACCAATGTTTCCCCTTCCCCTTCCCTTTTCCCTCCCCTTCCCTTTCTTCCCCCACTTCCGTCCGTGCTGTTCAGCGCAAGGATATTCAACCTGTACCCGCAGAAGGGCGTGGTGGCAGAGGGGTCAGATGCGGACAATTTTTCAGGCACCTCAAAATTCCCGTTTCTCTTCTCCCCCCTCTTCCTCCGTCTACGCTCCTCAGCGCAAGGATTTTCAACCTGTACCCGCAGAAGGGTGTGGTGGCAGAGGGCTCAGATGCGGACGTGATTGTGTTGAATCCAAAGGGCAGCACCACCATCAGTGCTGCCACTCACCACTCCCGCATTGACACAAATGTCTACGAGGGGTGGCACATGCAGGTGGGGTGCATGAGTGAGTGGGACACAGTTGGCATCCAACGTTACAAAGCACGACAAGATGGTTTTTAGACTTTTCAAGAACCAACTGGTGATCCTATCGTCCCCCGTTCCCCCTTGTAGTCCTTCACCCCCCCGTCATTCCAACTTCCCCCACTGTCATTCCTCCTCCCTCTCATTACTGTCCCTCCAACCATCACAATGTCATCCCACAGGGCAACATCGAGGTGACAGTGAGTCAGGGCAGGGTGGTGTGGCAGCACGGGCGGCTGAACGTCACCCGGGGGGCGGGGCGGTTTGTCCCCATGCGCCCGTTCGGCCCGCTGTTCCACGGCTTGCAGGCGAGGGATGCCGCCCGCCTGCAGTCCTACAGCGCCCCTGTGAGGCGAGATGGGGACAGAAGTGCTGCCGATCCTTAGAGTGGGTGAGATATGGGAAGGGGAGTTAGTGAGATATGGGAAGGGGAGTTAGTGAGATATGGGAAGGGGAGTTAGTGAGATATGGGAAGGGGAGTTGTGCTGTTTAGAGCTGCTTGTTACCTCGACAGGCGAGGGATGCTGCCCACCTGCGCTCGTACCACGCCCCTGTGAGGCGAGATGGGGACCTGGCCCGTGGGTGCTGCTGCTGACGTCTAGCGTGGGGGGGGGGGGGGGAGATCGTGGGGGGAGTTGTGCTGTGCTGACTCTGCTGCTGCAATTGGAGCTGCGTGTTACCTCAACTGGCGAGGGTTGCTCAATGCTCATGCTGCCCGTCTGCCTGCCCTCGAACCATGGCCCTGTGAGGCGAGAGGAGGGGAGTGGTGTTGCTGATGTTGCGTGGCGGGAGGCAGGAAATGTCTGTCCATCTGTCTGTATGTAGTACCGTATGTGCATTTTGGTCATTGATGCATCTTGGTCATTTATGCATCTTGGTGTTTATGAATGTCAGTCTTTCTCTGCATCTCCATCCGGCAGATTCTTGTGGCCGGCAGAGCTAAGTGCTCTTGTTGTGTGCCAGGCCATGGGTACTCAAAACTGGTTACAGTGGGGTGGAGCTAAAGAGGGCTAGTAGGTTGTATCGTGCAAGTGTACAGGAAACTAATTTATGTACTTTCATTTCAGGAGATACCGTAATTGGCCGTGTACAGGCCAGGCAAGCATTGTTGTCCGCAAACTAGATGGCCCCAGGCCAGGCCCAGAAAGAGCAACAAGCACACAGGTCAACAGGCAAGTGAAAGGCGGTTGCCTTTCTCTCCTTTCCCTCTCAACTCATTTCAAACAGTGTACAGGTGATTAGTAGTAGCCATTGCACAAGCCTAGCATGCACTTATTCAAACACCCTAGCCTAGCTTGAGAGTCTTCTTTCACACTTCCTCTGATCCAGACAGCAAGCCATACTCACCTCACCTCGTTACTTGAATCACCCCGCTCCTCTCCTCTCCTCTCCTCTCCTCTCCTCTCCTCTCCTCTCCTCTCCTCTCCTCTCCTCTCCTCTCCTCTCCTCTCCTCTGCTCGTTCTCCCTCACCGCCCACCGTCCATCACCTCCTGGCTCCAGGACCACTGCCCCAAGCCGGCTTCGCACCACCTCCACTGCCCCAAGCTGGCCGTGCCCTGGCACCTGCACCCCTATGTGTCTCCCCCACTCGCCCCGCCACACCCGCAGCAACAGCAGAGCTGCCTCTGAGGCTCGTAGGCCACTTCTCCACCATCGCTGCCATCTGCTGCTCCCTGCTCTTCACCCTCCTCTCGCCACCTCCACTGCCCCCTCCGATGCCCCCACCGCTTCCAACCCCTTTGCCTCCGCCAGCACCGCTAGCATTGCCAGGCAGGGCGAAGCTTCCACTGCCGCAGCTGCCACTGGTTCGGAGCAGCAAGGAGCTCACGCCGCCCACGCCGCCTGTGCCGCCCGTACTGCGCATGGAGTGGGAGTGGGTGTACGCCCGTGGACTGCCGCCCATGGCCATGGCAATGGCGGGCGATGCGGGCGGCGCTGCTGCTGCCATGGCGGATGCCATGTACCGTGACTCCACGTGGCGCGATCCCATTGGTGGAGAGCGACGAGAGGGGGAGGTCGAGGCGAAGTGTGGGAGTGGGGTGCGAGGGGAGGGGGGGTGGGAGCCAAGGGCAGGAGGGGTGCGGGGTGTGCGTGGTGTGAGGGGTGTGTGCGGTGCATGCAGGTGGGTGTGCGAATGGGTATGCACAGTATCCCTGGGGTCCAAGGCAGGGGGGAGGATGAGGAAGGACTCCGAAGGGGTGGCAGCAGAGGCTGAGAATCTCCCAACTCCGCCACACCGACCAATACCACCACCAACACCTCCGCTTCTCCCTATCCCCCCGTACCTTCCAATGCCACCCCCCAGCTGCACTGCTCCCTCCATTGGCTTGGGTTGATTTGTCTCTATCTCGATTGACTCGGGTTGACTCGTCTCCCCATGTGTTGACTCGGGTTGACTCGTTACTCCATGTGTTGACTTGGGTTGACTCGTCTCCCCATGTGTTGACTTGGGTTGACTCGTCTCCCCATGTGTTGACTCGGGTTGACTCGTCTCCCCATGCGTTGACTCAAATTGGCTCATCTCTCCAAATGTTGACTTGAGTGGACCTGCCTCTCTAACGTCTGACTCCGTTTGACCCATCCCTTCCTCCATTGACTCTGTTGACTCCAGTTGACTCATCCATTGACCAGATGACCCCTTACTCCACCCACCCCACGATCGCTTCACCTCACCTGCACCTACATGTGCACCTGAGCCTCCCACAGATACACCTTCCCCAGATGTGCCAACCTCATGCATGCCCACCCCATATGCAACCCCACATGTGGCCTCACATGCACCTGTCTCACATGCACCTGCCTCAGATGCACCTGCCTCAGATGCACCTGCCTCAGATGCACCTGCCTCAGCAGGAGAGTCATGAAGGGTCCCAACTGGTCCAGGTCCAGCCCTGCTGTCAGCATGCCTGCTGCCGCCCTGCTGCTGCTGTTGCTGCTGCTGCTTCTGCTTTTGCTGTGGCTGACGCTGGG